ACCCCACCCACCCCTTTTCTAAGGCTGCTCAAGTTTTGAGTTTTTAAAAAGAGCTCGGTAGAGCTAAAGGAAGCTACAGTAACTCATTGCTTATTTAATCAATTGCACTTAAGAGCTATGTTATTGATTCTGGAGCAGAGGCAGGCCCACTGTGAACCCCAAACTCTGGCCAGCCAGACATCAGGGGTTCCCAGACTTGGGCTCCACACCCGGGGCCTTGTCACCTGCAGCTTTGGGAGCTGGGACTGGAGCACATGAGCCTTTTCAGAAGCCTTTCTTCATGCAAGATTTCTTATTCAGTGGTATTGGAGTTTTGTTCATTTGGCTTCAAATACAAATTTTTTTCTAATACAAGTATGTGTTGCCGACAAGCCCGTAACCACCACATTAGTACCTGCATGCAGGCCTGTGTGACCAGGCACACATGCTCCATTCTTTCTCAAATTCTCCTCTGCACCAGGGGTCTTTCTCAAAAACCCCACTACATTACTGGAAACTTTGCTGGTTTTGCCTATGTGCTTGTTCCTAAGGCATGCAAAACAAATACGTGAAATTCAGAAAGCATTTACAATCTAGGCAGCTGAGGTGCTGAAGTCCTAACAGACATCACCTAAATATCAGTGTCTGTGACCTCCCCTTCTTCCACACTAGTTCTGGAGGTCAGGCCTGGGACATACTCGTAATTCCCCTCTGCTTTTACAGTCCAGCTGAAAACAGCCACGGGAAGGAATTCTAATTTGGACATTGGAATTCTTTGAAATCCCTAGCCCTCAGGAGCCCAAAACATCCAGGGCCAGGAACAATGCTTGGGGGCATAAATTTCCTGAAGTTTGTGGCTGAAAACTAGGACTTCCCTGGCAAGACTAAGGGGAGGGCTGGGTGCTGGAGACTGAACCCCCTTCAAAGATACCCCAAAAGTGATCAGGGCTTAAGACTAAGCAGTTGCAGGATGCTCCCCTCAACAGTGAGACAAAGCATCACCAGGGAGCCTTCAGCAGCAGGTTTGCTCTAGTCCCTGAATTAGGCAAACTGGAGTGATACCACGAGGGGAACTCAAAACCAATCCCAAGGGGAACTGCTTGTGTCAGTTCAAAAGCCACACACTTCTGGAAAGCAGGATATCTTTCTAGTTTAGTCCATAAGAAAAATCCTCTCATTGTAGAACAAGATATTGATCTCAGCCCAAGCTGACTCTGTGGGTTGGGCTGGGGCAAGGCTTGTGCTGCTCCCCCAGGACTGAGCCCAGGGCCAGCAGTGCCAGCTCCTTTAATGCAAGGGGCCTGACCGGCAAGGACAGGGCTCTTCTGGGGTAGCAGCTTGAGGCCTGAGATCTTTGGTGGCCTGGCCCTCCCCAAGGGTGGCTCCAGTTTGGGTAGCTAGGGTTCCTTCTGCATCCTAGCAGCTACTCTGTGCAATCCAAATGCTTCCCCCCACCCTAGCACAGTGGCTCAACAGCCCAAAGGAGATACTGTTATCAGAGACCTAGAGGTCCTGGACTGCCAGCCACACACACAGTGCAGTACCTGTCTGCTCATGTTCCATGAGGCCCCCCTCCCCCCCAATCAGTGGTGCAGGTGATGCTCTTCAGCGCTGTAGAGAGAATAAAGACAACATGCACTCAGGCCAGCACACAAAGGCCAAAGAGAACAAATACAGCCCCTGCAGGGAGGGGCCTCCAGAGGAACCAAGGCTAAGACACCCAGTTTTGTCCATTTCCAGAGTGGACATTCTGCAGCCTTCCTCTAAGGCTTCTGCTCGAAGAGATCATGATATTCCTGCTGCTCCAGCTCACGGTTATACTTCTCAATTTCCCGGTTAGCTTCTTCCACGTAGTCATTCATGAACTGGTCCATGACTGGCATCTCGTTAAGGAAGAGAGCCACGAGCCTGGAGGAAAAAAAGCCTGCTCTGGCTCAGACGGATGTGTGGGCAGGGGAGGTGGGGGAGACGCTGAGGTAGTGAGTACCCAGCCTGCGCAGAGGGGACCTGATAGGCTCTTTTATGTACCGGCAGCACCAAATCTACAAAGAATGTGACAGGGGCCCTAGCTGGTTTGGCTTAGTGGTTAGAATGGCAGCCTGCAGACTGAGGGGTCTTGGGTTCGATTCCAGTCAGGGGCACATACCTTAGTTGCAGGCTTGACCCCACCCCAGGCGAGGCATGTGCAGGAGGCAACCCATCAATGTATCTCTCTCACATTGATGTTTCTCTCTCTCTCTCTATCTCTCCCCCTCCCTTCCACTCTCTCTAAAAAATCAATGGAAAAAATATCCTTGGGTGGGGATAAATAAATAAATAAATAAATAAATAAATGAGAAATGTAATTGTAATGACTTTAAGAGGCCAAAATGAAGCCTGCCTCTACAACTTGCTGTTCCCAGAACCCAGCCTGTTCCAGGGCTGGGCTGCTGCAACTCTAGCAGACACTCTCTTTGTAGACAGGCTTTCACACACCCCAGGCTTGCTGCCCCAGATTCCAAGGATACGTGGGTGAAAATCCGTCTTGTCACCAAAGAAATTGACAAACTGGGTGCCATTATAAAAATAGCCTGCAGGTAGGGGGTCCAGGTGGCGTTTCACCTACAGGAAAAGAGTCCTGTTAGAATTATCTGACACTGTCTATCATTCACTCATTCATTAAAAACAAAAATAAACCTATTATCCTAGTAAGACAGCCCACTCATCCATGGAAGGCTGTGTGTCAGGGAATTAACACCTCCCCCCAGCAGCCCTCAGGCAATGACTGATGGAGGTCCCACTTATAGGGAGGCAATCTGGGTGTCCCTCTGGTTTGATAACACACCCTTTGTTGGCTGCCTCCCCTTCCTTCTCTCTGTTACTTTTCCATTTCCCTACTGGTGTCTCATTGAATCATTTCCAAAATAAACGACCTGTATTCAAATCCTTGTTCAAGGCTGGCTTCTGAAAGAATACATGCTACAAGGTGCCTTCTCAGGTGCCCGCGGTGTCCTCTCCAGGGGCACCTAGGGTTGCCCAGGTCCTGTAGGGCCTGGGTATGAAGTGGCCCTCCTCAAGTCCAAAGCAGGGGCTCCTGGAGCCCCAAAGTACTCTCCTGCCCCACCTGCGTATTACTGGGACTGGTGATATGGCCTATGCTGGGGCCTATACCCTGTGTTCCTTTTAGCCTTTGCCTCCAAACCTGTCAGGAAAAGGCCCCTCTGGGGGTAGGGACTGGCGCAGAGGCTGGGAGTCAGCCTGGTGGTTGGGAGGGCTCATCAAGGGGCTTCTTGCCCTGGCCTCAGGATTCCACATCCTACCCAAGCACAACTTCAGGGTCTAGACAGTTTGTCCTGGGCCCTTGCTGATTTCTGTAGGCCAAGGGGATGGGAAGGAGAGAAAAATGTCTTCATCTGCCTGCAGAGGGTGACAAGGCAGAGCTCCACGTTCGCCTAGATCTCATGCCCAGGTAACGCCAGCAAATCCTAAAGGGTACTGAGAGTAAGCCCCTAGGGCTGCGTACTCACATGGATGTTCTTGATCTCCTGCTGGGTCAGCATCCCCCTGGTCTTCAGGGCTTTCCTCTGAGGCTTCTGTGCAGAGATGGAGGGAGGGGTCAGGTCCCAACAGAGCTGATGGAGTACCTGGGTGGGTGACAGCTCAAGGGGCCAGTTATATGACTAATATCCCATCGGAGGGAAAAGCAAGCGCTGTCATGGCCTGGACACAATATTCTGCCTGTCTGCCCCTCAAGAAGACCACTTTCCCACTCCAGAGCTTTGTGTGCCAGGGGAACAGTGGCAGAGGAGAGACCAGTGCTTTTGCAAATAGGCATGTTCCTGCCTCTGCAGATTCTCAACCCTAACGCCCACCAGTGGCAGACATGCAGACAAAGAGATGAGGTCCCATAGCCAAGCACCATCAAGTTTATCCAGGTTGGTCTGAGAGAGACACAGCCTACGGGCAGCCATTACTCAGTATACAAGACAGGTTTCAACTGAGCATCTACAAAGGACCCAGGCCCTAGCCAATTCTATTTCTAGAGTTCTGGGATGAGCTAAACCCCTGAGGCTGTGCTAAGAGGCTTAGCACCCAAAGCTTGCAGTGTATTGAAGGATTTTAACTCCAGTCTGATGTGGTTTTTTTGTGTGGTATTGGGCTAAAGATGCTTGTGTGCATCTACAGGCAAGCCTCCTCTTCCCCAGCACCTGTCTCCAGGGCCCTGGGCTCACTGCATCCATGCTTGGAGTGTTGATTTGCAAAAGGCTCCAAGCATATCTTTGTTGTTAATTCCTTTCTGTAGAGAAAGCCCAAGAACAGGCGATTCTGGGCTCAGAACAGGAGTGTCTCTGAATTAGGTTCAGCTAAGAAATGACATTTTGAGTTTGGAACACCAGTGTGACCCAGGGTCCACATGGAACAAGTAGGTTTCTCCCAGCTAAACCACCTGATAACTCCAGTCTGCCTTTGAAAGCAGAATTGGAAATGGCTGTGAAAACAAGTCTGCCTTGAGTTTGCCCCAAGTGGCTGCCTCCCACTCTCTTAAGTGTCTCTGAAAGTGTTGGCTGAGCCTGAGGGGTGGGCCAGTGGGGAGGCACCAGGGAAGCTGTGGAAGGGCTTCTGCCTCAAGGCCAGCAGTGCTCTGAGGTATGCTAGCCACATCTGTGCCAGGTTTTTCTGGGCTTCAAAAACCACCTGCTTGGCAGACTGCCGCAGCCAGTCCTTGACGCTATCTTCCTTCAGGGAGCAGCCGATGAACACAAGGTAGCACTCCTGCTGCCCGCTGCTGTCTTGAGGTGTGCCTCGGGAGTTGGGTGGTGGTGTGGGTCCCTCTAAAACTGGTACGATGCTCAAGGAATTGGCCAGAGTGTTGTGGCAGACCTCCATGGTCTTCTCAGAGTCTGCAAGGAGAACACATGTCAGTCCCTGAGACAATGCCCCAGAAGGATAAGGCTATATTAAAACTGACACAGGGCTGATGGTCAGGGACAGACTCATGAGACATGTGCAGGAAGGAGAAATGACATGACTGGGGGCAAATTAGAAAGGATGAAGTGAGAGAGGGAGGAGCAATATAAGGGAGGAGCAATATAAGTTTCTAGGTTGGCTGATTCAGTGACCAGGTGGACGCCACAAGAAGAGGACTATAAGAGAAAAGTGCCCTTCCCCTTGGTAGAGGTGGAGCGGTGGGTCTCCACAGAGGCCTGAGAGGCCAAGGGAGGAAGGCGTCAACAGTACAAGTGCTATAGGAAGGTCGCCTGGATAGGGAAATAAAAGAGTGGACCGGGTTTACGGGCTGAGGAGCTGGGCTATGACTGACTGGAGACATGAGAACAGGTCAAGGTATCCCTGAAAGGCAGGGTGAGGGAGAGATCCAAAATGAAGAGAGGTTAACTCTGAACAAGAAAGGGGTCAGGAGTAGGTGTAAATAAAGAAGCAAAGGAGCTGATGATGGGGGAGAGGGCAGATGACAGCATTCAGACCTCCGAAGCAGGTAGGAGTTGTCGGCTGGTGCCCAAGGGAAGTGGGCTTGAGCAAGGGGCTGAGAAGGGGGCCAAAGTTTCAGATTCAATAATATAAATTAGGCCAATGGTATAGGTTAAGGACCTTGAAAGACTCTTTTTTACAGGTTATGTTATCTAATTCTTCCATCTGAAGACCCAGATGGTTCCATGCTTACAACTCTCACTGGCTCCCTATAGCAGACACTGGTGGTTGCCTGCCCAGCATCCCCCTCTCCCTCCAATACCAATTCTCCATGGGTCCTGGGTCCTGGGTCCTGGAAGGCATAGCAACTCAATCTTGGCCAGTGAGAGAAGTCTGCTGAAGAACTGGGAGGAGGCACTTCAGCAAGGGTGTCTGCACTGATAGACACCCACAGGAAGAGCCAGCCTCTCCACTGGCTGGATGTTGTGTCTGGATTTGACACCTAGACCTGTACCACTACCTGGCAACCATGACGGGTGGTTACCTGAGGACAAGCTGAGACCAAGAATGGAAGAACACAGAGACACACATGACCTATGTCCTCAGTGGGCTTGCTATGTTGCCTGACCTCTTGCTTCTTGTTATGTAGGTAACACCTGCTAGCTGAGTTGGCGTTTTCTGTTACAACAGCCAACGACACCCTAACAGACACAGCCCCTCTCCCCCCCAGGCTCCAGACACAGTAAACCCTTTGGTTCCTGAAGTGTGCCCTTTTGCCTCAGGCCCACAGCACGTGCTGTGCCTTTCTTTTCTCTGGAACAGTCTCCCCCTCCTCAATGTTGAGTTGAGCAACTCTTTCTTGTTCTGAGGCCTTCCCTGACCCCCAGCTTAGAATAGACAGACTTCAGGTCTGGAGGACTCCAGAGGTCTAAGGCTGATAAACAGGCCTACTGGACAGAAGGAAGGAGAGGGCAAGTGACTTTGACAGGAACATATAAGAAGCTGGAGATCTCAGTGTTCGGGCAGCTCCTGGTGATAGGTCTAGAAAAAAGCCATGAATGATGGTTTGAGTCTCTGGAACAAGGAAGTCAAGGACGGTGAGGAAAGGCCTGGGCAGGCCATCCAGGAGGACAGAGCCTCCAGTGTGGAGCAGAAGGACCTGAAGAGAGGTGGGCCCTTGGTAGAGAGGGGTGGTCAGAAGATCCCAATGGTATAAGGCCCATAGGGGAGGGTTTTTCAGAGAGAGTCTGAGAGGCATCAGTGGTCTGCAGAGCAGCAGTAGAGGCTATGAACTCCACAGTGCAGGGCTCCCAAATCCAACCCCCGTTACCTGAAAACTTCACTTTGCCCAGGATGTGGTAGATGTTTCCAGAGAAGGGACTTGGCTTCATGGAGGACTGAATTGCTGGTGGAGGAAGAGGACAGGATTGTCACCCACCTGGGGGCAGAGGCCAAATTCAGGGTGGCACAGCTGGGAGGGTTAGGGACTGGGAAGGGATCTTACTCTAGGGTCCAGGATTTATAGACTCTGTGCCCACCCGTTCCTCCCCAGTTGCTCTGCCATTGTTTCCAGTGGAGGGGGATTCCGGCATCCTCAAATCCCTCTGCCTGTTTTCAGACCCCAATGGAGAGGAGAAGAAACAGCACACAATACTAAAATGGTGCCAGGAAGCAGAAACAAATCTGGGCATTCTTTTACTGGGGTCTGGGATATGTCCCAGCCAGGGCTTACCTTTACATTTGGCCACAAAGCGAGTCTTCTCCAAGGGACGACCAAACCATACACAGATCTGAACCATTAGTGGAAAGACTGATCCAGTATCAAATTTACCTTCATTCCTTAAAAAATTATAAGTACAAGTATTGGGGCTTTGAGTGCTATATACTACTTGGGAATGAATGACATATTATTTATTCTATAATATTTGAAATATTCGATAATAAGAATATTGGGAAGAATGGTTGGGAAGAACGGTTGCATCATTAGAGCAGGGAACTTCACCTCCTTTAGACTAGCAGTCTCCTGAAGTCAAAGACCCCTTCTACCTTTGAAGCCTGCCAGTGTCCTACCTGAGACTTTGGTACTTCCTAGTACCCTTGGAGCTCTTCCTTGGGATCCCCTTCCATTCTTTCAAGGGCTACAACTATGCCCCACCATTGTTGAGCACAGCCTAACAGACTGTATATTCCGTTGTGTACACTCTCTCCAGAAGGAACTAAAGGGCTGGGGTATCTCTGCACTGTTGATGTTTCTAGCTCTCTTTCTCTTCCTTCCTCTCTCTGAAATCAATTTTTTTAAAAAAGAAAAAAAAGAACATGGCCATATTCAGAGCATATAAAAAACAACTACTTATTATCGAGTATTTCAAACATAAGCAGAGACAGAAGGGCAGCATGAACCCCATCAGCCAGCTTCCAAAGTGATGGAATTGTCATTTCTTCTTTTGAATTATTTCCTTCAGAGGAATCCCCATGATTGAAATCAGTTCAGGAAAGGGTGTACCCATCTCTCGGGTAATAATTTATACCACCCCCAGCAGTAGATGAGTATTCCAGTTCCACAAGAATTCCCCCAGTAAAAGTTACTATAGATATTTTTGGTTAAATGTAGTAGTATCAATCAAAATAATAATGAGGCATCATTTTATATTTCTGAATATTGCTGATATGGAATTCTGACCATGGCTGCCATCTATACTTGATCCTAAGTGAACTGTTCACATCTACATGGACTGGGTTATTTTTCTTAACTAGCTAAACAAGCTTCTCAAATATTATATTAACCCCTTGCCACATTTGAAGCAATCATTTTTCTCCAGTCTATTGTATTTTCTCATTAGTTTTCTTTTTTTAAAAATAGCACTGCAGTTTTAAATTTTATATTGTTGAAAGTATCTTACTCTTTGTGATTTCTTTTCTTTTTTTAATATGTTTTTATTGATTTCAGAGAGAAGAAGGGAGAGGGAGAGAAAGACAGAAACATCAATGATGAGAGAGAATCCTTGATCGACTGCCTCCTGCATGCCCTCTAGTGGGGATCGAACCCAAAACCTGTACATGTGCCCTGACTGGGAATTGAACAGTGAGTGACCTCCTGGTTTATAGGTCAGTGCTCAACCACTGAGCCACACCAGCTGTGCTCTGTGATTTCTTAAAGTTGGGTAGTGGCATAACATTTTTACAACACTGCCATGTTCTTTTGGCCCTCCCCCAACCCAGTCATTTGGATACAATGGGTTTCTGTGGCTTCTGTGCTCAGAGCCCAGATCTTTTGGAAAATTTGGAGGGGCTGAGGGAAGAGAGAAAGGTTTCCTCCAAGACTAGAAACAAGCCCTTCTCCCAGGGAGGTGGGGGTGGGGTCGATGAGAACAGAGAGGGCTGTAGAAGAGGAATGGCTGAGAATCGTCACAGCATAGAAATGAACACATGCTGGAGCTAAAGTCCATTCACTATGAGGTGGTGGCCCTGACTCAAGTAGGGAAGGGAGTAATGTATTGGGATGAGTAGGAGTCTGATGGCTGCCACCTTTTTAAAAGTCTAAATTATCTGAATCCAAGTGAGGAATTCAGAAGGGAGGGCCTGAAAGGTGCTTTTAAGGCCCCTCCATCTCTGATTCTCTACAAGGATTGACTTTCCTGATAAAGGGAAGGTTTCAGACTCCAGACTCACAGAGTCTTCTAATGAACTACTCATAGCCAGCTCTTTCCTGGATCAGTCTGCCTTCAGGAAAGTCTGTATCCAGAGCTCGGTTCACAAGCCCAGAATGAGTCAGTATGGAATAGAGGAGGGGTGCTTCCCTAGGCACCAGGTGCAGACAGAAGTCTCAGGCCCAGGCCCACAGTTGTGGGCAGCAAAAGGCTCCATATCTGCAGCCACCAGAAAGAAGGGTTTCACCCAGAAGTTCCGTCACTTTCTTTTTAGCTAAGATACAATTGTCTTGTTCAAGCAAAAGGTATGACTGAAAGACTAAATTTTACCTTTTTGTTTTGTTTTTTTAATCTTTATTGTTGAAAATATTACAGATGTCCGCTTTTTACCCCCATTGATCCCCTCCAACCCACATCTACCCCACCCCCAGGCCTTCCTCATACCAATGTCTTGTTTAATTACTATTATTTTTCTTTAATCCCCACCCAAGGCTATTTTTTCCATTGCTTTTCAGAGAGAGAAGGGAGAAAGAGAGAGAGAGAGACATCAATGTGAGAGAGACACACTGATTGGTTGCCTCCTGCACACGCCCTGACTACGGCTGGGGATCAAGCCTGCAACCGAGGTATGTGCCCTTGGCCAGAATCGAACCTGGGATCCTTCAGTCCACAGGCCGACACTCTTAATCACTGAGCCATACCAGCTAGGGCTTAATTTTTATTCATTTACATTTTATTAAATAGCCAAATGTGGCTGGTGGTTACCGTATTGCTGTGCAGTCTTAGAACAATGTGTGTAAGTGCTCATGAGCTGCTGGTATTAGTATGATTACAGTGTACTTTGCAGCCTCTTTCCTTCTCTTCTTCCCTCTGGAGGAGAGGGTCACAGGCTGGGAGGCCGCCACCAGAGAAGAAACATCTCCTGGTCCCCATGGCAGGGAACTTTCCTGTCAGGTGGGAACCTTAGAGGGCTGACTGTATTCTCAGGAGTGACTCTCACCTAGGAAGGTTACAACTCCTTGGCTTCCTGCCAGCCTCCTCACCCTCCCTAGAGGCCAGAGGAAACAGGATACTGCTGTGCCTGGTGCCCGCAGGATGTCTCCCCAAGTCTCAACATGCAGCAAGGCTTCCAATTTGGAGCCCAAGATGGGGAGCACTGGGTTCCTGGAAAAGCCAGCTGCTGTTGGGACATGGCAGGTCGTTCCAGCTGACATTGTCAACCTTATCAAACACACCTGGTATTTTCTGTTTGTCTCTCTCTCTCTCACTCTCTTTTGTTTTGCTGCAAATAAATAAATTATTGGGTTTATAAAGAAATCTTAGCTACTTTTCAATGATGATACTTGCCAGCCAGGGTACATTAAATATCGAGATCGTAGCATCTGAGGAGTTGAAAAACTGTTTTCTGACAGAATCAGCTCAATGTCTTCATTCCTTTAAAAAACATATAGAAAAAAAAAAACAGATTCATTAGGACTATCAGTCTTAACCTGCACATTTTGCTTTCTGTCTCCACTGTCCCCATATACACATATAAGCACAGATGCATACTTTTTTTTCCTGTAATTTCATCCTTAAATATTTCCGTATGTATCTCCTAAGAACAAGGACATTCTCTTACAGAGCCACAATACTATTATCACACCCAAGAATTTAATACTGTGGACCAGCAGGACTAGTATCACCCGGGAGCTCATTAGAAATGCAGAATCTCAGGCCCCATTCCAGGCCTACTGAATCAGAATACTCATTTTATAAGATCCCCCAAGAGATTCACATGCACATTAAAGTTGGAGAAGTACTGATTTAGTATACATCCATTTAAAAATGTTCCCTTTTGTGGGGGAAAGGGGACCCAGGATCAAATCAAGGGTCACCTACCCAATTTACAATCTTTATTTTCCTTGAATCTGGAACAATTCCTCTAACTTTTTGTTTGTTTCTCATGACATTAACTTTTTTTTTTTAATTCCTCACCTGAGGATATTTTTCCCATTGCTTTTCTGAGAGAGGGGAAGGGAGACAGAGAGGGAGAGAGAAACATTGATGTGAGAGAGAGAGATTGATTGGTTGCCTCCTGCACGCACCTCGACCTGGGCTGGGATCGAGCCTGCAACCAAGGTATGGGCCCTTGGCCAAAATCGAACCCAGGACCCTTCCGTCCTCAGGCTGATGCTCTAACCGCTAAGCTAAACCTGCTAGGCATGACATTAACATTTTTTTACAAAAAATGTATCTTTATTGACTTCAGAGAGAGGAAGGGAAAGGGAGAGAGAGAGAGAGAAACATCAATGATGAGAGAGTCATTGATTGGCTGCCTCCTGCACGCGCCTTACTGGGGATTGAGCCCACAACCCGGGCATGTGCCCTGACCAGGAATCAAACCCATGATCTCCTGGATCCTAGGTTGATGCTCAACCTCTGAGCTACGCCGGCCAAGTGACATTAACATTTTTTAAGAGTACATGCCAGCTGTCTTATGTCCCACAACCTGGATTTGTCTGGTTGTTTCCTCATGATTAGACTCAGTTAAACCTCTTTGGCAAGATTAATTCCCAGGTGATGTTGTGTCCTTCCCGCAGCATCACAGAAAGGAGGCATATGATGCCAGTTTGTCTCATTAGTGGCCTTGCTAAGTTTAATTACTTGGTCAATGTGAAATCTACGGCACCACCCCATCTTCCTCATTGTGAAGGTACTTTCCCTCTTTGTGAGTAGTAAATAGTCTGTGGAGTGATACTCTGAGACTGGTGAATATTCTCTTCCTCAACAATCTGTCAACCACATTGACGACTCTTCCCTAAATCAAGTATTATACTAAAGGTTACAAGGTGGTGACTTTCTAGTTCTAGAAATCCTTATTTACTTGTTAGCATTCTTCTGTTAAAAGAGATTTACTGTCCTGCCCATTTCCATTATTTTAGTATCAAATAGACTCATTTATTCCATGTGCTATAAATCCATTATTATCATTGTTCTCACTTATGCTCAAGTTATCCCACATTTGGCTAATGAGAGTTTCTTAAGCTAGCTCCCATATCCTTTCGGCATATTGACACTAATCTTTGCTTTCTTGGCATAAAATGTACCAGGCTCACCTTGCACTTTCCCTGCCCTAGACCTGCAAACAGCCAATTCTCCAAGGAATCCTGATACCTTACAGTGGATTGGTACATAGAAACCAAGATCTACAGGTAGGGGTGTTTATTGTAACTGTGGTATTAGTATTTCTGGTCTCTTTCAGTGGAAAGAGCTTGTAAATATACATTTTTGAAATAATAAATCTACACTGAATCCCCCCAAATTTAAATCCAACATTTATAGGATTTTTCCTCACCTTTCCCATTTCATCTTTATACTCTCCCTTTTCTAATCAGTGATATTGTCTGGAATCAGGATTCCAACAGAGGACTATGTTCAAAAGTTACTTGAATTATTTTGTGTTTGCATGGTTGTTATTACTTTGACATACAGATGGATTCACTTTTTTTGTTTCTATTTTGATTTTTCCCTCCTTGTTGATTTTAATTTTTGAATATGTAAAATATTTGCATTGATCAAAAGTCAAAACTATATAAGAAGCACACACCTTCTGGTATCCTTACTGAGCAAACAAAATTGATACACAACCAGATGTTTTCATACTCACACATACAAAGTCACCAATTCTCTATTTTTAGTTGTAATTTGGACCCAAGTCCATGAAGTAAAAAGATAATTTCTCTATGTCCTCTATGTCATTTTTCTTACATGTTAACACAGGAACTTTGAGGAATTCCTGACGTCCATTCCTGAATGGACGAGACGTGAATGCATCAAAACAAAGTATGTCCTGCCCTGGCTAGTAGCTCAGCTGGTTAGAGCGCTGTCCTGATAGCCAAGGTTGCGGGTTTGATCCCTGGTCAGGGCACATAGTAGAATCAACCAACGAATGCATAAATGCCCGGCTGGAGTGGCTCAGTGGTTGAGCATTGACCCATGAACCAAGAGGTCACTGGTTCGATTCCCAGTCAGGGCACATGCCCGGTTGCAGGCTCCATTCCCAGTAGGGGGCGTGCAGGAGGCAGCCGATCAATAACTCATCATTGATGTTTCTCTCTCTCTCCCTCTCCCTTCCTCTCTCTGAAATCAATAAAGACATATTAAAAAAAAATTTGCCTGGCCGGGTGTGGCTCAGCGGTTGAGCATTGACCTCGGATCCCGGAGATCGCAGTTTGATTCCTGGTCAGGGCACATGCCCGGATTGCAGGCTCAGTCCCCAGTGGGGGGCTCGCAGGAGGCAGCCAATCGACGTTTCGCTCTCACACTGATGCTTCTCTCCCTCTCCCTCTACCTCTCTAAAAATCAATCAAAAATCTTTTTTTTTTTAATTTAAAAAGACCAAAAAAAAAAAAAAAAAATCTCAAAATAAGCCAGGATACTGACACACAGGGTCCTTTTGGTGATTTACACAGCATCAAAAGCACGTCTATAAATGCTCAGGTCTTAGACACAGTGAAAAGACCCTGTGATGTATTACCAGAGGGTATCTGCTGTATCTGAGAAGGTGCCTGATCCTGTGGGGTGAAGTGAACTGTATAAATTTACCTGGTAACAATCCCATTTTCTGCAAGAATGAAGGCTGCGGTAGGATTGGCAGCCCTGATGAGGCTTTGCAGCTGAACAAGGAGAGGGTGCCTCTGCTCCGTGGTATGACTGGTAAACACCACATTACTCACCAGGCCTGGGGAATAAAACCAAGAACAGTTCACCTTCAGAGTCTTGACTGGAGCTGAGGGGTCACACAAATGTGGGCCCTTGCTTCCTCCCCTTATTGTCTTTTCCAGTAGCCCCCTTGTGTAGACACCCTGGCCCCCAACACCAACAGATACAGCCATCATTCTGTTCCCCTTTCTGTCACTGCCACCTCTTGGAGTGAACGGCCTCAATACTGTACCTGCCTCACTTCCTAACCTCCTATCTTACTAATTCTGCTTTCCAACTGATACCCTGAACTTCTTCATCAATGGGCCCTTTCCGTATCCCGTTAGATGGAAACAGTAACACGAACCTCCAGGTTATCAGTAAAATGCTCATCACAGGGCCTACAGATACTGAGAACTCATTAAATGCAACTTGTTCCCATCACTACCACCACCATCACTGTTAGCTGAGCACCAGCCTGAGATAGGACTTGTACATGTACACAGAGCGGCCTGGACTGATCCATTCCTCACACAGACAGAGGTGGCTGTGACAGAGGCCTCGGCCACATAAACCAGCAGGAAGCCAAGTCATGTGACTTCCATCAGCCTAGGCTGCTGAGTCCATGTCAGATGAGTGACCATCACTAGTTTAAGGCAACTTCCAGGAACCCTGGCCCCTGCCTCTGATCTGAGGCAGAAGTTAGTGATACTTCCTTCCTCTCACCACTCATAAGAAAAGTGTTCCAAAATGCTAAGCACTGAATCTAACCTTATAAATCATCTGGATGCACTCTATTCATGACCAGGGAAGAGGGATTAGGAGCTTCATGCCAATGGTTGCATATTACAATGGGGGAAGGGCACATACAAAGGCTACGCAGATGTCAGGAGTTAGAACTCACTTGCTGAGCACAGAGCTGCTTCCTAAGTGCTTATGGACCATTTGGGGGTCTATCAATTCCTTGGTCCGAGACACGGGTCCTACTCTTCTCAGGAATGTGTAGGTGTTTGACTCAGTGTAAGTCAAACTTAGGCAGATATGGTCCATCTTTCTCTGCACAGTGCTTGAGAGATCTCTAAGGATTCAAAGGTATTTCCTCAATGGCTTTCCCTGACTTCCAAGTGGTGAGTGCAGCTCTGCTTCCTCCTCTGGTCACTTGGTAAAAGATACACTGACTGCCCGGTTCCCCAAACCTGGGCTGTGGAGGCCCCTGAGTCCTCCTCTTGGCCCAGTGGGTGCTAAACAGCTCTTGGATCCATCACCACTCTCAATCCCTGCCACCACTGGCCTAGTCTAGACCACCACTCCCTTCACTACATCATTGAAACAATTCATTCTCCCTACTACAATTCATTCTCCCTATTGTAGTCAGAGTAATCTTTCAAAAGCATAAATCTTATTGTATCACTTCTCTACTTAAAATATTTCAATGCATTCCAAATTACTGTGAGGCCAATATCTTAACCTCTTGGCCTGCTTGACCTGTCTGCCATGCTGCACTTCCTCAGTGCCCTGGGTGTGCTCTGGTCATTGTCAGGCACTTCACTCTTGCTGTTCCTTCTACTCGAAACCATCTTTCCCCTCCTTTTTGTCAGCGCAACTCCTTGTTCAGGTTGTAGACAATTTGAATAGAACCTCTTCCTGAAGCCCTCCCTAATCCCCCAGGACTGAGTTAGAGCAGGCTCTGGACAAAGATTTGCTGAGTAAATGAATCAAGCGTAAGAAAAGATTCATGCCACTTGACCTCTGAAGGCAGCTGCCATAGCAGCTATGCTATGGGCACTCACATGCCAAAATATTTCCCACAGAAAAGTCAGTAAATTCCATTCATAAGACAGCCATCTGAAAAGGTTTCTAAGGCTATTGGTATATACATATTTTTGGTATAAAATCCATAAAGCACAAAAAGGTACTCAGTACAAAGTTTCTTCCTCCCTCCTCTGCACCCTGAGCCCTCGCAGCCCTCCCAAGAGGCAAGCACTGACAGCTGGTATGGGGTAGGCTTCTCAGTCTACGCATATACAAATATATACGAATACACAGAATCACATCTTTTAAAAAGCTTCTACCCCACTCAAAACCTCTATTGTCAAGGCCTCCATGTAAGACCTAGTTTTGGTTACACCACGATTAGAAATTCAAATGGAGAATATGCTAGCATTTTGTTTATTCCATTTTAAAAGGTTCTTCACATGCCCTTTCTGTTCAGAAGCTGTAACATCAAGATGGACTATCTTCAACCTGTATTTTGTTAATCAGTGTCACCCCAATAAAATCAATAAAAGGAAAAGAAAAAGATGCACCATCTTCAGCCAGAGAGCCAGGGAAGCCTCCTAATGAAGGTGATACTGGTGGTGCCTGTGCTCCCATTCCCACTTAGGAAGATCACTCTGGAAACTGCGGGGGAGATAGGAAGCACAGCCTGGTGAGCCTAATGCCAGAACCCCATGCTCTGGTGCAGCCACAGGAAGTGACTGGGGCCTCTGGAAACTAAGTGAAGCAAGGTGAGGAGGCCAGGCTCAGAATGTGGCACAGTGGGGAAGCAGGCAGGGTTCTAGAAGGCTCAGCACATTCCAGAGATGGCAGATACAGGAGCCGGATCCTGCAAGAGGCCTGTGAGATTCCCAGGGGTGGAAGACAAGAATAGCTGTGGTGGATCTTGCAGTGAGGAGCCGGGAAAGGCTGAGTAAAGATCAATAAAGGCCCCAGGATTCTGTCTAGTATCTTCTTGGTAAAAAGAAACTGGTCAGGCTAGTGCAAATATGCCAATCTATGCAGTGTATATTACCAGGGTCACAAACACAGGCCTGGCCTGTCCAGAAAAAGGTGAGACACACTCTGCCCAAAGTAGTCTGCCTCACAAGTACCATGTAGACAAACCCTGTGGGCTTGGGATTCTAGATTAAGAATTGGACACAGAAAAGGGGTTTTGCTTTATAGGGAAACAAGCAAAAAGATTATGCCTAGCATTCCTTAGGCCAGCTACACAAACTACAACCTGCCAAAAGGAAATGCCATCTATGAGGCAGGTGCAACAGTTATCTGGAGCTCAGGGTGGAGAGGCCACAGTGGGCATTTTGATTGTGCTTGGGCCAGGAGCTTCCTTCTGCTTCGTATCAAGGAGTAGATACCCAGATTTGGCCAAGGTCTCACCAGTCTGGCTCATTTCCAACAGTGGAGAAACATCTCTGAGGTCTGTCTGACCATCCTAGTCTGGGCTAAAGGCTTCCAGCAGCCAGGAGAAAACAAAGTTCACCTCTTTTATCTATCTATAGATACTTCTAAGAGCAGGGCATGATAGTAAAATATCTCTGCTCTGTATTTAAGCTGACATTATAATAAGCCTCCCTAGCTTTTTAAGCACTGAGATTATTTCCTAATCCTTATATTTCTGTAATATACATCATCTTGGGGCTGCAATACAGTTCTTTTGTCCTTGTAAATAATCCTTTGTTGTAAAAGCAATGAATCAGGGAGCCTGACTCATGAACAGGAGCAAAGGGAGGCAATATGCTTCCTTGGAACATGAAGTGTTTGTCTACGGTGTCAGCAAGTGAGCCACTAAATCACTGAGGAAAATAATACAGTTGCCCCTTGAACAACTTCGGGGTTAGGGGCATTATAGTAAAAAAATCTGAATGTAACTTTTGACTACCCAAAAACTTAACTGCTAATAGCCTGCTGTTAATGGAAAGCCTTACTGATAAACAGTTAACACATACTTTGTACGTTATATGCATTATATACTGTATTTTTATAAAATAAGCCAGAGAAAAGAAAACGTTATTAAAAAATCAGAGATGCCCAGCCGGTGTGGCTCAGTGGTTGAGCATCGACCCATGCACCAAGAGATCACTGGTTGGATTCCAGGTCAGGGTACACGCCTGGGTTTCGGCCACAGTCCCCAGCAGGGGGCGTGCAAGAGGCAGTCAATTGATGTTTTGCTCTTGCATTGATGCTTCTCTCTCTCTCTCCTCCTCTCCTTTCCTCTCTCTCTAAAACCGAATAAAAACATATTTTTAAAATATCATCGAGAAGAGAAGATACATTTACAGTACTTATTGAAAAAAAAGCTGCATATAAGCAGACACGCATAGTTCAAACCTGTGTTGTTCAAGAGTCAACTGTACTTGCCTTTTATCTCCTCCCTCCCCAAGCAGCCTATGCCCATGGTGAGCCAGGTCAGACAAGTCCATCGGGTACCCTGGGCCCAGATGTAAGGAAAATATATTTATCAAAGCGCTATGACTCCACAAGCCCCTTGGACTTCAGAAAATAGCACAGATGACCTCAAGGTTGACAGCCCATATCTGATCACATCCCTATCTTTATACAAGCAGAGAATTTGACACAAGTTGCCTTTGAACACTGAGTTGGGAGGCAGTGTTAATGAAATATTTCTACTAAGTGCAAGAGAGAATGGAGTCTGTCCTGTAATATTTTCCAGGTTTTATGGACAGTGAAGACAAGAGCACTTCCCCAAGGCTTTTTACCAGGGCAGCCTAACCATCTGTGCTATATGTGCAAAACCTAGAGGGGCACTAAAGGAGAAAGTCAAGGGGACAAGGACACTAGGGTGGCAATAATGTGGCAGATAGGAGCTGACTATAGCCCACACCCTTGGCTATGACCGTGACTACCAACATGTATCTGAGGACCAGACAGCTCTCCTTGGTTACCCCCAAGTCCTATGTTTTCTCCCATGCTTTCTATTCAAGGACAGGTACCACCAACTTTCCTAATCTCTCAAGCTAGAAACCTAGGAGTCATCCTAGATCCCTCCTTTTCCAACTCATGCCCCACACTTAATCTATCATCATATCCCTCTGACTCAACCTCCATAAAATCTCCTTACTCTCTACCTGGGATGGATACTGTGGGTGGCCCCAGCCAATCTCCATTCCACTCAACTTCTGGGGTGCAGTGCCTGGAAAGCCACAGGGGTCTCTGAAAGCTGGACTTGAGACTCCTGGTGAAGCAGTCCAACACACACATTCCTCCCACCAGTGACCCAGCCTCCTGCCCTGTATAGCACCCAGCTCAGCTGTTTCCCAAGACAACATCTCTGGATCTCTGGTATGCATCTCCGCTCCCTGTGGACTGGCAGTGGGCTCAGCAGGGCAAAACTGTGCTGGGGACACTGAGTTATTTACTTCCGTCTAACTTCTACTTGCTGGGCTGGCTCAGGAAGTCCAGAGCCTAGGTCTTCTGACAACAATGAGCATTTTATCACCACTGCAGGAAATTTAGAATTTATTCTGGGTCTCCGGGCACCATAGTTAATATGACTAAAAAGTGCTGCTTCCAGGGTTGCCAGATGGTAGGACAATGCAAGGTTGAGTGTAACTTACAGGATAGGTGGATTTTTCTAAATGTTACCAAGGAGGTGTGGAAAATTCCAGTGTATGTAGAGGGGATATTAAGGGAGAAGGTCCCACTGGGCCATACTCTGCACTCATGGGACAGGAGAAATGCAAGATCTTGATGTTCCAGAGGCTAGGAATACCTATTAAGTCCACTGATACTAGGTGGAAGGCCAGGGCAGATTTACGCCCAGCTCAGGAGAGGTGTCGCCATGGCAATTTGTCATCATTAAGCAACAAACTCTGAAAGAAATCTGCTTATCAAATATTAAAAAAAATAAAAGGTGTCACAGTTTTCCCTGGACCAATTTATTTGTTTTAGGTTTTAGAATGGTAGGAAGGAGCATGAAGAAGAGTCTGTTGTATCTAAACAGAATTTGAAAGGTATGCAAGCAGGGATTAAAGCACACTGCTTACCTTGTGAACACTGGTCAAGACATTTCGGAAAGAGAAATCTAGGGAGGAAAAAGCGAGAAATATTTTAAAACCATTAATGTCGGAGTTGTCATTGATTATTTCCCACAAAAATATGAATATCACTGATATCTAAGATGACTTACTCGATGGGGCAAGTGGCAGGCAGCACTGAGCAGTAAGGATAGCCATGGTTATGCAAGAGGTTTTCATAGCTTTGAACCAAAACAAAGTTCCCTAAGCCAGGAACCCCATAAAAGTCCCTACATGGCCAACTCTTGGTGGAATGTTGAAGAGGGGATACTTGGGAATGGCCAGTCTCTAGACCATAGGAAACAGAAGGAGAGTTGGTCTATCTATTTTTTCCCCTAAAGAAATACTGTCATTCTAGCCAGTTTTCTCAGTGGTTAGAGAGTCAGCCCGTAGACTGAAGGGTCCCGAGTTCAATTCAGGCCAAGGGCACGTACCTCGGTTGTAGGCTCGATCCTTGGCCCCAGTTGGGGCGCGTGCAGGAGGCAACCAATCAATGTGTCTCTCTCACAATGATGTGTCTCTTTCTAGTAGGTGAGAGAAAATCTCTTTCTGTACACAACACACCATATCCTGTGGGCTGGAGGTGGTCTTAAGTGTGTACCTGTGCTCCATGTAGCAGCTCAGGGGCTCCACACACACGGTGATGGCACCAATGATGAAGGACGACCTGACATTTGAGTCTGGATGGGTCTGCAGGGCTTGGACAACATCAATAATGTCTGTGTAGCTGGGGGAAAAAAGTGAATGGTTAGTATACTGGTTGGGGCTGCAGAGTGGGACGGGGAAGAGGAGAATGCTGAGTGGCTGAGGGAGCAAGAGTGGAGGGAAAATCAAAAGGAGGAGCCTGTGATTGGGCTCTTAGAGTCACCGCACTTTATAACTTAGAGCCATTGAAGCCTACAGAGTTTCTGCATTCTTGAGTTCCATTAATCCTCATAACTGTGCAAGAGTGGGTACAAGCACAACCCCCAAGCTCCAGGGTAAAGGTAAGCCTGCACAGGTGACTCTGGGGTTCTGAGGGTGGGACTCGGTGTCCTTAGGCCTGTTTTCTGATCAAGTTAGGAGGTCCTGCATTGGTCTGTTTTTCTTAAAATAGCCTTTCCTCTCCTTCCATCTCACAGAACATGTGGGCAAGAGAGAAGGGGGATCATTGGGTACCTCTCCAGGTCAGGAGACACATATCAAATTCGTATCTCCTGCCTGGAACTCCCTCCAAACTCCAGAAGTCCAGAGCCAATTTGACATTTTCACTAGAACTTAATGATCCAACTCCCCCATGCCTCCTCCTCCCAAGGCCTTGTCCTTTTTGCCAGAGGAGACTCCACTCCTTCAGCTACTAGGTCAAAAGATTTGTCTGGAGTCATCACTGACTCCATTTTTTCTCAATCTTCAGAATATAACTAGAATGAGATCACTGTTCATACTCCCACGCTACTACCGTGTCCAAACGGCTATCATCTCTTGCCTAGATCACCTCCACAACTGTTTCAATGGCCCCCCCTGCTTCTGTCCTTGCCTCTCCCCAAACTGTTTTCAACACAGAAGTCAGAGAGATGGTACTAATCCCATCATGCTGAGTGACTGAGTGAGTGGCTTCTGTCCCACTTAGTGTGAAAGCAAAGTCCTTATAATGGACTAGTAGCCCTCTAAGATCTGTCCCCCACACTGCAAAAAAGAGTTTAATCTCCTACTATTCCTTCCCTTACCTGAATCAGTAACTTTGCCCTCCTGGCTCTTCCCTGAACATTCTAGGCATACTTCCACCATGCACTCTCTGTCCCCTCTCCTGTGATGCTCTTTTCACTCAGACGTTTACAAGGCTTACTCTCTCACTCCCTTATGAGGGAGGTGTCCTCTGACTTGGGTGTACAGCCTATGTGATAACAGCTCTGGCACAACCTGGCCTTGCCCCAATTCTTCTCCAAAGCCTGAACATCAGCTACATACTCTGTATTTTCTCATGTATTTGTTTATAGTCTGTCACTGCAATTAAAAAAGACAGTGGGCCCAGCCGGCATGGCTCAGCTGTTGAGCATCGACCTATGATCCAGGAGATCGAGGTCTGATTCCCGATCAGGCACATGCCCGGGTTGGAGGCTCGATCCACAACAGGGGGTGTGCAGGAGGCAGCCAATCAGTGACTCTCTCATCATTGATGTTTCTATCTCTCTATCCCTCTCCTTTCCTCTCTATAAAATCAATAAAAATATATTTATATATAAAAAAAAAAGACAGTGGTTGTTGAGTGCTGTAATCTACACTGCCTAAAGGAGAGTAGATGAATGAACTGGACATTCAACCCCAGGTAGACACATGGCCACTCCAAGACGGAACCTGCCCTCTTCACCTCGTGAAAAATATTTTCTGATTGACCCAATCAATGACCAAAAGGTCAGTTTCTATGGAGGGAATCCAAAGCTGATGAGGACAGGCTTGCTGATTATATGGGCCTGGGTCCTAGCCTGGGCCCTTGGGAGGCCAGCTGAGTGGCTGACAGGATAGGTACAGCCTGTCTGAGCCATTTCCTGAGTTACTACACACAACTCATCTGTAAAAAGGCACTTGGCTCTCCCAGATTACAATTTTAGCACTCCCCCCAGGTCTGCCTTAGTCTCTACAAACCAGCAGTGCTTTAGTAAAGAACTGGGTGTGCTAGATTCTAGACCTCTCCCATGAGGGCCTGGCAGCCAGAAAGCCTTTAGAGAGAGCCCTCTGCTCAGTGGCATTTCTTTTTCCCCTTAAATACATTTTTATTAATTTCAGAGAGAGGAAGGGAAAGGGAGAGAAAGCTACACTGATGAGAAAGAAACATCAACCTGCTGCCTCTTACTCGCCCCCTATACTGGGGATTGAGTCTGCAACCCGGGCAGGTGCCCTGACTGGGAATTAAACTGGCAATCTCCTGGTGCATGGCACAATGCTCAACCAACTGAGCCACACTGGCTTGGCTGCTCACTGGATTTTCTTTTTTTAATAATTAATTAATTTTTAAAGGGAGAGAGGAATAGAGAAGGAGGATAAGAGAAGAAACATTGATTTGTTGTTCCACTTATATATGCATTTATTGGTTGATTCTTGTATGTGCCCTGACCAGGATCAAACCCATAATCTTGGTGTATCAGGACGATGCTCTAACTAACTGAGCTACACAGCCAGGGCTCACTGGCTTTTTTTGAAGGTTTCTTCCCTGGCAGGTGTGTGTACAACCATGTGAGGTTCTTTCCACTGGTCCTGCAGTGTTGGGGTGAGCCTGGATGCCACAAAAGCCCCCAACATTGCCCTCACTGCCAGGCCCTTAGCACATGTGGTAAGCGAAACCAATGCTTGCATGCTGCCCCCAAATCTCTTTGTGGTTATGTTTAATAGATATAACTCTCATGGTTAAGTGTCTCAGCCTTGCTCCTCAGCATGAGCTTTTCTCTGATTCTAAAAAAAAACCAAAAACACCAAAAAAGTATTTGGAGCCTTTTTAATTTCCATGTTTGGTGTGAGCCTGTAGAGGTTCTCATTTCTTGGGGTAAAAAGGAACTAACCCTGGCTGGCATGGCTTGGTGGTTTGACCATCAACCTGTGATCCAGGAGATTGTGGTTTGATTCCTGGTCAGGGCACATGCCCAGGTTGAGGGCTTGATCCCTGCAGGTGTGCAGAAGGCAGCTGATGGATGTCTCTCTCATATTGATGTTTCTCTTTCTCTCTCTCCCTCTCCTTTTCTCCCTCTCTAAAAATCAATAAACTATTAAAAAAAAAAAGATTTCTAAGCTAGTCTTGCAGATTTTGGTCATTCTAATATAATAGGTTATTCTTAGAGAGTTGACTGGGAAATTCCCTGGTATTTCAGAGCATTCCATTCATCTTCATTTATTTTTAATGAAAAAGGTTAGAGTGAAAACAGGCTCCAGGCTTTTTGGTGAAGCCAATGCATCTATGTGATGCATCTACGCACTGCATCCAAGAGCCCCTGTGGCAAGAGAAGGGGCCTTAAGTGTCATTCACTCTACGATTAAGGGAGTCCTGTTAGACCCTCCCTCCATCCCCAGCCCCTGCCCTATAGTAATCATCCTGGATGTGGGCTCCAAACAGAAGGAGGCAGTCCTCACTACAGAAGGAGCAGGCCACTCCAGCTGCCAGACTGCATCCGGCCACTTTAGCTAAACTGCTTGAATGCATGATGAAGGCAAAAACTGGTTCTTCATGTTCGCCTGTTTCTTGTCAGTACCCTCTTTATTAAAAATAAAAACAAAACCAAAAACCAAAACAAAACCCCAGCAGGACTTGAACTTTCTTTCCTCTGAAATAACAGATATTCCATTCAAATGTCCTTTGGGCTTTGTTTTATGTTTGCAATTTAAGCCTACAATTTGGGCACATGTTTTACATTAATTCAATTTTTGTTTTGAGAGAGAGATGCTTAATTTTAAATGTAGATAATTTAAAGAATGATTTTATAACCTTCCAACGTGTAAACAAATTCCTTAAAATTAATTTTTAAAATTGAGATTTCTCGTTTTATTTATTTGTGTTATATGTATTTAGTTCTATATGATTCTGTCACCTGTGCAGGCTCCTGTATTTACCACTACAGTCAAGATACTGAGCAGTCCTATCACCACAAGGATCCCTTTTATAACCACACACACCTCCCTCCTGCCCTCCCCTCTCATCTCTAACTCCTGGAAACCACTGTTCTGTCCTCCATTAAAAAAATTTCATCATTTAAAAATATATTAATTTGTATAGTAACAACTAACAGCTCTGCTTGATGTCAAAACTCAACACCACTGCCCCCCTTGCTGCAGTAAGTCATATGGCTACCTGAGGGGCAAAAGAAAACAGAAAACTCTGCCCTAACCACAGGTTTCCCCCAAAGAATTCTATAAATGATGATTAAAGTAACATTAAAGGAATTAATTCTCAATTTGAGAAGCCTCTGGGGTGACCCTTCACCAGCAATCTCAACACTGGGCTCATGAGGTCCAGCCCCAAGGAGATGGACATTCAAAAAGGAGGCTGCCACAAGGCCCTGCTGAGTCTCAAGAGAATGGGCCCAGCCTGTAAGGACAGTGTCTTAGTGAGAGCCACAGTATTTAGCTAGTATCCTGGCTTGAGTCTAATAGGAAATCTGAGGTCTCTAGCATCCCAGGGCTGTGACTGGGCAAAGGCTGAGTCTGAGAGTACAAGAGTGGGCTGGCCATACACTGTCACTGCAGTCCAGAGCAGCTACAACAGCTGACACTTTTGCAGATGTGTACAATCAGAGACAATGAGTCAACGATGTTCTCTGAAGTGGCAGTAGATGGAAATATCCTTAGCTGCATAATGTTAAACTGCCAAATATGACTCCCAGATTCATACCTCCACTGACTCTCAACTCTGACAGAGACCAATCTATTCTTTTGACTATTAGAAGCGATGGAAAAAAACAGAAGAAAAACAAGTGGTTTCAAACTCAGACTCTTGCTCTGTGGCTTCCACAACCTCAGCCCACAAGTAGAACAAAGGGGCTGACAGAAGGGAAGCCCAGGGCGGGGTGAGAACATGGCCTGAAGAAGAGGAGTGACGGCCTGGTGGGGTGCACAGCTCTCCCTACTTCCTGCCTTAGGACCACTGACCTAGCTTTCCTCCAATTCTCACCATCGCACCCAGGAGACCAAACAGGGCTTCACATGTGGGCCTATTCTTTACTGGAAAAAATCACCCAATTGCAAATAATCATTATTACAAGCACAAAAAACAGCACAGCAAAAAAGCAGTTTATGAGAACTGCCAAAAGAGTCTTTATTACCAACCATGACATAGTGAAGAGCACAGCCTGAATTTCCAGCACATTCTCCTCTGGGCCAAGGGGGTGATGGACCTACATGGGCTCCTTCCTGGAAGGCCTTAAAAGAGGTCAAGGGAAGCTCCTTGTAGCCAGAGTGCTTGGAGCAGTGATATACACTGTGAAACCTGTCCTCCCAGGGAGATCCTTGTTGAAGTGGACTAATCAAGCTCTTTACTGACAGTCCCAAGAAATTCTCCTGGACTAGCCATCTGAGGATGATGGGGCTCGAGACTACAGAATATGGGCCATCTCTGCAACTCCACAGAGAGGGAACACTGAAACAGGTGAAGCTCTGCTGCATAGATGGTGAAGGAAGAGGCTTCCCACTCTTGTTACAAGAATTATCAAAGAAACTTACCCCCAAAACCTTCTCCCTAATTCCCCACCTTTTGGGGATATTATGATGTTGAAGCCAAACTTAAAACTTGTGTGTAAGCTATACCAGCTACTCTAGGCCACAGGATAGCAACAGGAGTCCTTGCTCATTTAAGGCCTCTCCGTGTAGCACAGACACTGCTCATGCACATGTGGAGTTTGTTCTGTGCCCCAAGTGAGCTACACATTAAGTAACAGTAGTGGCAAGGTCACCACCCTACCCCACTGTTGCCAGACTTTCAGTGCTCACCCTTGTAACACCACCAGCAGCCTGGTCTTCTTGCGGATGTAGGCTGACTGGCGGGCAGAGAGATTCCGCTGGGCTTCCAGGGCACTGGAAAGGTACTTCTGGAAGTGGGCAGCATGAAAACACTCAGAGCCGTCCATGATCTGGCGATACACCATCCACCTGGAAATGGCAAGTGTGATCTCAGTGTGGGCACCACCTGAAGCCCTGGCCCCGTAGGCTCAGCTGTGGATTCAAATGTGACCAGACATTCTGTCCAGTGAATCCATTTGTACAGGAGAGAGCAATCCTGGCACCAGAGAAACAGGCAGAGGGTGCTACCTGGGTGGGGAGCCCCATATCTTAAAATAACAACCATTGGAGCTTTTAACAGGAAATTCCTTGCCATGGGGAAAAAGGTCTAGACTTAAGAGCTGAGAAAGACTCCTGACCAGGCAGTCACTTCCTGAAGGACCATTCAATACAATGGATTCATTCGGGTACACAGTAAAATGCTTGCTGAGAATAATGGGCAGAGTGAAGAATTCAGACTGTTTACAGAACAAAAGCAAAGGAAATGAGGGACAAACCGGTTAACTATTTAGTACTTACAAAAGAGATCCGATATCTCCTTCACATCTCTTAAAAACTTCTCCCCCTAGCCTCCACAATCTCCCACTCAAAACTTCCAAACCTCTAGGCGACTGCAGTTTTCTCAACCCCTCTACAGCCTCTTGCAGGATGCCTTACTCTGAGATGGACTGACTAGATACTAAATGCCTGGTTCAGTGAGCAAGCATTGCTTACTAACCTGCCAGCCAGGTGGAAATGATGGATGAATGATTTCCCCAATTTCACCTGAGCCATATTCCAGCTGCACCTGAACTCACGTAGTAGTCCTCTTGTGGTCAGGGAAGGATCATATCTACCAGCTCTCAAGTTCTAACCACCCTGGTCCTGAATCACCCTACTGACCAGGCACACTCCCAGGCCTTTGCTTGTGCTGGTCCTGCTGCTACAGAGTTCTTCCCAGATATCCATGGGTTCATTCCCTCATTTCCTCAGATCTTTGCTCAAATGTCACCTTTAGTGAGGTCTTCTCTTTAAAACTGAAATCTCTGCTCCCGCCCCCAACCTCCCAGCCCAGCACTCCCTACAGCCTTCTCTGCTTTATTTTCTCCATAGCACTTTTCACTAGCTAATACACTATGTTCCTTATGCGGTGAATTGTCTTTCCATACTAGGCTGTAAGCTCCTTGAGGAGAGAGATTTTGTGTGTTAAGTTCATCTGTTCTCCACACTTAGAACAGTGCCTGGCATACAAAAAGTGCTCAGTACAAATGTGTTAAATGAATGGGTGGATGATGACTACTGTGCTGATATCCATTACACCAAAGGTGAGTATATGTCCAAGGTTTCCCAGTGCCTATGCAGGCCCAGGCATAGAATCCCTTTCCCCAAAGCAAAGGCGGCAGCCATACTAACCTGCCATATTCTTTATGCAGAGTAACCAGAAAAGCACAGAGCTCACTAGCATGGCATCCCGGAAGACCAGTTACAATGCTGATAACCACCTGCACGAAAGAAAAGCCATGTGGGTTTGTGATTCAACTGGAGGCAGCATTGTGAGGGAACAAATAGACTGCTAGAAACAGGTTCTGTGAGTTTGAACTTCAGCATCAGCATTCACTAGCTATGTGATCTTAGGCTAACAACAGAACCTACCTTGCAAGGTAGGGGTGATAATTAACAGAGTTAACATATGTAAAGTGCTTAGAACACTGTCTGGCACATAGCAAACACATTTTAAATTTTGTATTACTATCATAATTTCCATGGAGCACACTGTGACTAGATCAATTAATATACAATGGAAAATATTAGGCAAAAAGGAGGACTGGGACCAAAAAATGCCATGGGCTCAATTGGCGTAGTAATCTCAGTGAAGGAGATGACTGGCATTGGAGATGTTTCTGTTTGGCTGCCCTGCCCTCCAAGCTGCACAGCCTGAGCTAAGGAAACAAACTGGTGCAGGAAGCATGTCTGAGTCTTTTTTGTTGTTGTTGTTGTTGTTGAAGCTTTTGGTTTTGTTTAATATATTTTGCCCTAATAAAAATAATTAATGGAGAGAGGTTCTGGGTGCTGCAGGGAGAATACAGAATTTCCACATATTGGAAATTGTAGGATGTTATGCATTAAAAACTGGCTTGGGATACAGGTGTCAACTTCTTACAACTCAGCCAGTTTCAATTCTCTTTGCTATGTTCAGACTGACCTCTGGAGAGCAAAATGTCCGCATGTAGGGGTTTTGTGAAATGCTTACAAACTAAGTTGTCCAGCACGAGGAGGAGCTGAATTCCCTGAAGCAGAGGCTGGTGGCAGCCTTTTGTCCTTTGAATTTTGATGGGGAGAAGAGGAGCCAGGCTGGACTGTCCTCAACCTTAGTACACAACCATATGGACACGGGGCCTTCCGCAGGCAGATTATTACAAAGCAACTTGAAGAAATTCATCAACAAAGAAGGGGGTCAAGCAGGGGCGGAAAGGAACTATGCAATTGCTGAAGGATATAGATAATAAATGATATAGTATGGTAAGGGCCTCATTAAGTATGTTTTATCACAAGGCTGTAGAGTAGGGGTGGGGAACCTTTTTTCTGCCAAGGGCCAATGGATATTTATAACATCATTTGAGGGCCATACAAAATTATCAACTTAAAAACTAGCTATGAAAAAAGCTAGATTTATTGAATTTCGAGTCCCACCTGTGGTTGCCTTGGCGGGGCCAGACCAAATGATTTTGCCAGCCATATACAGCCCGCAGGCCGGACATTCCCACCCCTGATGTAAAGCTCAGCCTGGTGGCACTCATCACTTGAGCTGGTCACAGCAGCACAGAGAAGGCTGTGGATTCCTCCTCTTTTTGGGAGCCAGAAGCTCTCCCTGCCCTCTGCCCAGGCCCCTCCTGCACATCCTTTCTGGCCTGTGGGGAGCACTCCATGTAACTAACTCTGGTTTGTCCTCCCACCTACATTTCCCCATCTTGGTGCCTAGTCCTCAGGGCCCAGGCCTCAGCCTCTCAAATCACAGCACACATGCTTACAGCCAGACACCTTACTTTAAGACCAGTCCTATAGCACCTTTTAAAATATTTTATTTGTTTTTAGAGAGAGAGAAACACTGTTCCACTTATTTCATTCACTGGTTGCTTCTTGTATGTGCCCTGACCAGGGACTGAACCCACAACCTTAGTGTATCAGGATGACACTCTAACCAACGGAGCTACCTGGCCAGGGCCTATAGCACCTTTTTAACAAAATATAACAAGTAGGGATTTTCATTTTCAAACTCTTGCCTAAGTAAGGGGAAAATGAGGCTTTTGATTGCTTAGTGCTTTTACTCTTTTGTAGCTGAGTATCTTCTAGATTTTCACAGAAATAAATGCCCTCTTTGAGCATATAAAGACATATGGCTCCAAAGAAAGGTTGGGAGGGGAGTGTAAGGTGGGAACAGATTAAAATCTACTCTTGGGAAGGCAATGTTTATAAAGTATCACCTTACCCTGGTGGTGCCAGCAAGGCCGAACTAACAAGGCCCATCCCCAATGTGCAGGTAAGTCCTTGTCACAACCAGAAAGAGCTGACGGCATGAGAACACTGAGCAAGTTTGAAAGGCCTGGAGAAGGAAGGGGAGGGCCTGGCAAGGTGCCAGTTTCATCAATGCCATGGGGTTTGGCTAGGGTTAATGTAGATAACTGTACACAGTCACTGCACAGAGCAGGTTTCACGTGCACCATTACATCAGTATCCAAGGAGGTGGAGAGTCTTATAAAAGGGGCTCCACCTGAGCTACTTTTGTTAACTGACACAGGAGACCCAAGGACAGGCTATCAGGATTCTCTTCCCATGAACTCCCAGCAAATTTGGTGAGCCGCTGTACCTTGTCATTTTCTACTTGGTCAGTAGGGCTGATTTCAGTTTGCTGGAGCAGGACAGGGAGATGGGTCCTCATCACAGGCTCCCGACTAATGCTGCTGATGGCAAAATGCCGGAGAAACCTAGAAAAACAAAGATAATGCTCTTGTGTTACCATCACCAGCCTTGCCTGAATGTGCCCATCTACATGAAAAACTCCTTATTTAACTGATGAAAAAGAAACTTGAGAGAGTCTCTCTAGAGAATAAAATTATATATGGTGTGTCACTACTAACTTTTACAACAATCCCAAAGAAGCTATAAAGAGGGGTGGGGTCTGTGGAGGAAGATGGTGGCCGCCTGGGGTTTATCCCTATCGGCGGCGGCGGCGGCAGCGCTGAGAGCCCTCACCCCCTGGTGGAAGAGCAGGTGGGGGTCGCCAGGTGCCCCTCTGCTCCTGGGCTCATTGTCCTCCCTTGCTCGTGGCAGGCTCCTCAGGGTTTCCGCCCAATCTCAGGCGCACCGGGCAGTGCTGTCCTCCAGCCCCGAGGCTGGCGAAGGGCAGATTCACCTCACCGCCAGCTGCGTCCAGAGGCTTTCTGGAAATCACCCAAGGCTCAGAATTCCTCAGGCTGGAGGTGGAGGGAGGTGGATGCTCCAGATTCCAATACAGATTTTCACTGGATACCATTAACAACCCAGACGACAGTGTATTTGAAAAGGGTGGGGCAAAAGCGGTGGGTGACTCTGATAGCTTGGCCTTTGTGAAAGGGGCCCAAGTGGACTTCAGCCAAGAATTAATCCGAAGCTCATTTCAAGTGTTGAACAATCCTCAAGTGGACAAAGGCTGTTCCTGTGGGTCATCCTTCTTTGTCAAACTGATTAGATGATATGTGACCTAGAGATTCTGCCATTGGTACCAATTTGAGGAACCTGGGATTAGTAGAATTTTAGTGGTTTCCTTCCAATCAAGTCCCTCCCTCAATTCAGGATTGTTGTGTTTTGCCACCATTATTTTCAGGATGTGAAGCTGTTACTCTTGACTTAATTTCTCCTGCACAATTCTAAAGCCAAGGCCCTAGATGCCGTTACCTAAGATTTAATAACTAGTTGAAATGGAGAGTAATTTGTAGAGCCTCCAAGGTTCCAAAATTTGAGTTACTTCTCTGGCCTTCACAGGTGCTTGTACAAATATGTATAACTATGTATAAAGGCTATATTTTTTTTTGGGGGGGGGGAGAAGCTATAAAGAAAAAGGAGCTTAGAAAGGACCAACATTGAGGTTTCTGACATTTCAAAAGCCAGAACATTAAATATCTATGAACAGAAAACCAGAGCTCACCAGTCCAGCTCTGGGAGTTTGGCTGAGAGTAGCTTTAGAGGACTTCGTTTCTCCCCAGCAGAATGGCTCAGGACATTGAAGAGCTTCTGTGCACTGGAGTGTCTAGAATATCAAAAGCTCACAGATTAGAACTCCATCTCCCTATGGCGCACATACTTTACATAACTTGTTCTGATGCTTTCAAACCAGAGTCCTGTGACAGAGTCAACACTTCCAAAACAAGCATTTCACTGACTTAAATAAAATGTGGCGTCAGTACATGATGACTGGTGTGTCCACATAAGAAAGCTGGCCTGAAACCCTTGGTAATACAATGGGTTTCTAATTCTTGGTGGATTTCATCTTTCTTGACTTCTATGTCCCCAAGGGCTCTTACTACCTGCAAGTTGGCAGCACTGAAATGATTGTGTTGGCCCTTTTAGAAGCCAAGACCCCTGTGTTACATAACACAAATCATCCTGCAGAGAGAGCAGACATGCACAGCTTAGGGAAGCAAGCATAAACACTGAAAGCAGCCACTTACAATCTCTTTTGTTCCACAGATAATCCATCTTCCTGGATCACTTTTAAAGACAGCCCTGAGTTAGCCTGCTGTTGCCAGAGGGAGAAGACCTAAACAAAACAGAATTTGAGCAAAGAACACTTGAAACCCAACAACAGGATATGGAACCCACATGGGGATTTGATGGTTGCTGAAAATCTAGTCTGTCAATACATGAGACAAACCATCATAACAAACAAGTTTGTTTCAAAAATAGAGGCCTAAAGCAATTTTGTTCTGTATTTTTCAAAACTAGAATTTCTGGGTTCCTCTCCCAGGGACTCTGCTCCTTCAGAGGCCAGGAAGCACAAAAGAAGGTGTCAGGTAACATGTTCTGGCAGAAGAGGCCTGTTCTTCCCTGGTGATAGGGCCAGACAGAAGGAGTGGCTCAAGCAACTCCTGTCTGGAGGTAGAGGGATGGCTAAAGAGAATCTAAAGGGCTGCCTCCATGTTCCTGGTTGAAAGGACAAGCTCAAGGAGGTAGGAAGGACCAGCAAGCCGTAAGAGGGAGACACAGACTGGCCTGAGAAGCCATATGCAGCCAAGGCTACCTCTTGTCTCCTCCACGTTCTGTGAATCTGCCCTGAGGGAGAGACACTGTCCTTTCACAAGCTGCTGCAATCACATGTTTCCAAGCATAAGGCTGGCCATCTATTTGACTTTGGCTACTGCTTGGTCTCTAAGTGGGTTGTATAATTCTCAGTAAGCTCCCCAACTCATGCAATCTGTGCTAAGTGCCTATATTATGCAGCATGCCAAGTGGGACCATTCACAAGGGCAGGACCTGTGAATCATAGGGAAGGGAGATCTTGGGGTGGGGTACAGAGCTCTGATCCAGTAGGTAGGACCCAACAATTCAACCAAGTAGCTAAAGGGACATTGAGTCTAATTAGGATTTAAAGGGACAGAGATTTTTCTTAGGAGCTAAAAGCCTTTTGTTCAGTTCCTTCAGATTCTCACCTCTCAATGGCAAGGCACCACTCCAGAACCCAAAGGGATTTGAAGCAGCCACCCCCACCAGCCCTCCCAACACTCCCTCTCATCACCTCACTGTTAACCCTGAGATGCTGCCTTACCACCTAAACTGCTAGGTAAAAAAACAGTAGTTTTGCTGACTGATTGATGTTACCTCTGAGTAAAATGCTTGGTATATCTTTGATCTGGGGAAAAGGGCAATCATCAGAAAATTGCTTGAACCATGGAAATGAACTGGAAGATGAGGAAGTAATGAGCTTCTAAAATCTATCAGAAGGGCAGCAACAACACTGGTGGAATCCTAAGAGAAAGAGAGGGAGCATCAATGAGAAAAGCCATTTGCAGCACTCACAACTACTATCAGACACATATTAACAAATTTCAGTGCAATTATTTTCACATTATATGGTTTACTGGGGTTCAGTTATAGATGTGTTTTTCAATACCCAAGTATACAAGATATAGGAAGCACAAGGATTTTTTTCTAAAAACGTCATCTCAGCCTAGCCAGGTAGCTCAGCTGGTTAGAGCATCACCCCCCTATGCCAAGGTTGTGGGTTTGATCCCCAGTCAGGGCACATACAAGAAGCAACCAATGAATGCGTAAGTAAGTGGAACAATAAATTGATGTTTCTCTCTCACTTTCTCTCCCTTCCTGTCTCCCTCTAAAAATCAATAAATTAAAAAAGTTCTTTAAAAAATAAAAGAATAGGCTGGCCGGGTGTGGCTCAGCAGTTGAGCATCTACTTAGGATCCAGGTGATACAGGTTTGATTCCGGGTCGGAGCACATGTGTTGGTTGTGGGCTCGATCCCCAGTCGGGGGCATGCAGGAGGCAGCCGATCAATGACTCTCTCATCATTGATGTTTCTATCTCTCTCCCTTGTCTTTCCTCTCTCTGAAATCAATAAAGATATATTTAAAAAAATAAATAAAAACAAAAAAGAAAATAATAATAAAAATGTCATCTCAAAATTCTTTCTAGGCGAATTCTTTATCAGATTTATATTTCCTCCCATTCTGTGGGTTGTTTTCACTTTCTTGATAGTGTCCCTTGATGCACAGTTTTTAATTATGATGAAGTCCAATTTATATATTTTTTTCTTTTGTTATCTTTGCTTTTGGTATCATCTCCAAGAAATCACTGCCTAATCCAACGTCACAAGGATTTACTCCTATGTTTTCTTCTAAGAGTTTAATCATTTTGGCTCTTACATTTATGCCCACACTTCATTTTGAGTTAATTTTTTACTTATGGTCCAACTTTATTTTTTTAATCCTCACCCACGGATATTTTCTCCATTGCTTTTCAGAGAGAGTGGAAGAGAGAAACATCAATGTGAGACACATCAATTGGTTGCCTCCCATGCACTCCCTGACCAGGGTGGGGACTGAGCCTGGAACCAAGGTATGTGCCCTTGGCCAGAATTGAACCCGGGACCCTTAGGTCCCTGGGCCAATGCTCTAACCACTGAGCCAAACTGGCTAGGGCGAGGGTCCAACTTTAATTTTTCACATGTGGATATCCAGTTGTCCCAGCACCATTTGTTGAAAAAATTGTCCTTTCCTCATTGAATGGTCTTGGCACCCTTGTGGGAATCATTTAAGCATATATGTGAGGGTTTATTTCTGGGTTCTCTATTCTATTCCATTGGTGACCTTATGCTAATACCACACTGTTGTTTGATTACTGTAGCTTTGTAGTAAGTTTTGAAATCAGGAAGTGTCAGTCTTCCAATTTTGTTCTTTTTCAAGATTGTTTGGTGATTCAGAGGTACTCTGAGATACCATGTGAATTTCAGAATGGGTTTTTTGATTTCTGTAAAATATGCCATTGGGATTTTGACTTAAAAAAATTCCATTGACTCTGAAGATCATTTTGCATAGTATTATAATCTTTTCTTCTTTTTTATGTCTTTATTGATTCCAGAGAGAGGGAGGGAGAGGGAGATAGAAATATATCAATAGTGAGAGAGTCATTGATTGGCTGCCTCCTGCACATCCCCTTCTGAGGATCGAGCCTGCAACCCAGGCATGTGCCCTGACCGGGAATTGAACTGTGTGACATCTCCTGGATCACAGGTCGGTGCTCAATCATGCCAACCAGGCAATACTGTAATCTTAACAATATTAAGCCTTCCAACCTATGAATATGAGATGTCTTACCATTTATTAATTTCTTTCAGCAGTGTTTTGTAGTTTTTAGTGTACAAGTCTTTCACGTCTTTGGTTAAATTTTAAGTATTTTATTCTTATACTTAGGAATAAATTTAACCAAAGATATGAAAGACTTGTACACTGAAAACTACAAAACACTGCTGAAAGAAATTAAAGAAGACCTAAGTAAATGCTATTGTAAATAAAACTGTTTCCTTAATATCTTTTAAATTGCTCATTGCTAGGGTGTAGAAATGCAACTGATTTTTTGTGTGTGGACTTTATATCCTGCAACTTCTGTCAATTCGTTAAATTCTAACCATTGGCGGGGGTGGTTTGTGGACTCTTTATGATTTCTACATAAAAGATCATGTAACCTGTGAACAGAGATCATTTTACTTCTTTTCAAATTTAGATGCCTTTTATTTCTTTTTCCTGCTTAGCTGCTTTGGCTAGACCTTTTAATACTATGTCGAATAGAAGTGGCAAAAGCCAGCATCTTTGTCTCGTTCCTGATCTCAGAGGAAAAAGTTTTTTTTAACATTTAATTTTTCATTATAAAAATAATATGTTCATTAAAATTTTTTTTAAAGTAGAAAAGGTTTAAAAAAATAATCCAAAGTCTCATCACCTAAACCCAATTACAACTAATATTTTAGTATTTTTTCTTCTAGTCATTTTTTTCCTATCCATCCACTGACTTAACATTTTTAGGCACTGGGAAATCATATTTATTTTTACAGTTCTGTATCTTGCTTTTAAAACTTAATTTACTGTTAACATTTGCTATGACGTTGCAAACTCTCTGTAAACATTTGCAAAGACTGCTTTCCACTCCCCTCTAAGGTTACCCCTACAGCTGGACATTTATATACTTATTCCATTTCTCCTCTGCTAGTAGTGCCTTTTATTTCCTCTTTGCTAATTTACTGTTATGCATAGTATCGTGAGGCTGTTTCTGATATGCTTCTATAAACAGGCATACCTCAGAGAGATTACAGGTTTGGTTCCAGACCATCACAACAAAGTGTGTACAGCAATAAAATGAGTCATAAATCTTTGCTGGTAGAGGGTCTTACCTTCAATTTGTAAAAAACGCAACTGTGAAGCATAATAAAACAAGGTATGACTGTATCTGTTAACTAATCTCATGTCTCTAACATTCCTGACCTGTAACTCAGTGTTTTCATGTTAAGAACTATAGAGCTCTTCATAGAAAAGAAATATTAACTTATTTTTTTAATCATCAAACACATTTTCCCCAGCTTAATTTTGCTTTTTAATTCTCTTTTTGAGATACTTTTTAGAGCTTTAAGCTATTAATTAAGTCTAATAAATGTTATGCTGTATCCATAGAATGGAATACTACTCAGCAATAAAGCAATTAAAAGAGACTACTGATACACACAACAACATGAATGAATCTAAAAATCATTACACTGAGTGAAAAATGCCAGACTCAAAAGGGGACAGAATGAAAAAAAAGGGCAAGTATGCATAATGTCCATTCATATAACACTTTAGAAAATGCAAACTAATCTACAGTGACAGAAAGCTAATCACTGGTTGCCTGAAGTGAGAAGTAGAGAGAAAGATGAACTGCAAAAGGGCATTAGAAAACTTTTTGAGGGTGATGAAAGTCTTCTGTATCTTGATTATGATGGTGGTGTCATGAGTGTATATACCTCTCAAAACTTTGAATGGATAGAGTTAACTGTAAAGTATAGTTCAATAAATTATCAACAAAAATTTTTAAAATACTTAAGTGGTCAAATTTGACAGACTTTTCCTTTAGAATTTCTTGTATCTAAGGAAGTTTCTTTTTTAAAGAATTTTAAAAAATTTATTGATTTAAGAGAGAGAGAGAGAGAGAGAGAAACACTGACGTGCTATTCCACTTATTTATGCCTTTATAGTTTGCTTCTTGTAAGTGCCCTGACCAGAGATCAAACCCGCAGCCTTGGTGTACTGGGACAACACTCTAACCAAGTGAGCTACTGGTTCAGAGCTCTAAGGAAGTTTCTAAGCTAGAAAGTCTTCCTGTCCCTAGAGGTTTAATAAATATTACATTTTTATATTCTTTTTTTCTACTTGTAAAATTTTAAAATATTTAATTTTAATCTATCAGAAATTTGATTTTTGATATGAGAAGACTCCATTCTCCCCAAATTAGCTAACTTATATTCCCAGCACCCGAATGAGTCATCCTTTCTCCCCTGACGCTGGAAGACTCTTTAACCTAATATCAAAGCTTTCATCTATAGCAGGGATGGGGAACTTTTTTTTTTTTTTTTTTT